GCAGAAATAACTCTATAGTGTTAGGTTTATGTGTTTTCCTTATTTCTAAAAGAAGGGGTAACAATCATACATACACATCTCCAGTAATTAAAGATGTGATGTTGCATAACCTTTTTTATGTCTCTACATCTGTTATATTACACCCAGCTGTGAGCTGTTGCCTCTGCTTATCTGTACAGTTTAAGCAGTTTGAGCTTTCTTGGACTGGGTTCTGCTAATTTGTTGGTTGGTATGGTTACTGCTGTGAGAAGCCTCTTCTGTGAGTCTGGTGGCCGACACTGTACTCCTGTGAGTGCATTTTGGTTATTGTGACTGTTCTCTGTGAATAAACGAGACTCTAGGATGTCTGGGTGACAGTTCCACATATAGCATTAGCATAACACTTTCCACGTACCAGACCCTGTGTGCAGCAAGTTGCACGCTGCAGCAGATGAATTTTCTCCATGTGTTTGCAGTGGGGCAGAAGGGGAGTAACGTGGCCAATGAAGAACTAGTGTCCTGGTTTATGCTCAGCCATTAAAGGCAACTATTTCCTGTCATCAGTGCCTGGTGATGCACAGGAGACACAGCAACACTCGTGTTGCTGCACAAGCCTCCTTATGAGAAGTGTCTAGCCTTTAGCATGGAAGAATTTTCAGCTGAGAGACCGGTATAGGTATATCCTTAGTTAAGTTTAGAATTGCAGAGAGGAGGGAGAGTATTCCAGATACTAACTTTTAAGCAAATTGTCATCTTAAGATTTTTGGTTAATGTGACCCTGCCTCAAAATAAGGTGAGAATCAGAGAGCTGTAGTTGAGGCCTGGGAGGTACCTCCTGCTGCCATCTCCACCCTGTTGCATGAAGCCATTCCCAGCAGATGCATACCAGCAGGAGTTACTTCACTCTGTTGAAGGAAGAAAAAACTGACGTGAAAATCATTGCCTCAAACTACCAAAGCATGAACTCGGAACACGCATTTTATATGCTTCTGCCTCAGCAAGCATTGATGATGGTTCTGCGTCTAAACAGAGAGCTGAGATCATCTTTCTGCAAGGAGACAAGGAACTTTTGGGCAGTAGAAGTAAAACTTGCATTTTATATAGTGTCTTATTTGTCACTAAAAGAAGTTAGATTAGGAAGGTAAGTTTACATATAATGCTTTATTTTGCAAGTGGTATCTCCTTTCTGCTGCAGGTGCAATTAACTGAGTCACGTACACTATGGCTGCAGTTTGAAGCTTTATTCAGTTTAGAGGATTGCCATGTGCTGCAATTTTTAGTCATATTTAACTAGATTAAATTAGGCTGGCTAGGGCTGGGCTGTCTGATTTATTTGCATTTGCAGTGAAATCAAAAACTGAATTGCTTCCATCTAGGTGGCAATAGACTGTTTTGAAGAAAAAGTATTTTTGAAGGCAAACAGGTAATTATACAAAGTATTGTTATACAAGTTATGCAGGTCAGCTTTATAAGATTCTTCCAAAATGGAGATTTGAAAAAAAAAAAATTTCTAGCCCTGATAGTCTGAAGTCTTAATTTTGAAGCATATTATACTTTAAAATATGAGACAGCAGTAAGCTTGACTTTTTCTAGATGTTGAAATTAGGACAAAAATATATTTCTTGAATCCTACACTTTACAAAAATTACTTAAATCTACTTTATTTTTAAGCTGAAATTTTACAGGCAATAGGCCTCGTTTTTATTACACACATGCTGGTGTCAAATCAAAGGAGATCCTCAAGATTTTTCAGTGTGCAACTTAGATGGAGACTAATTCAAATGACGTTTTAGTGGAGAGACCCTTATGAGTGCTGTCATGGCCACGACAGCTCTTGGAATATAATTTTTGTTGGTTTAGTCAATGAGCAGCACACCCCCCACAATATACTCTTTCAAATGCCGGATCCAGGTAATTTTATCAAACTCGAATGAAATATGTATTTTGAAGTTAACTCTTGGCAGCAGCGTTTGTGAACCCAAATATTTACAGACCTCTAAGTCCACTTACGGCAATTAATGTGCCACTTCCTAAGCCTGTCGACTTCCGAGGCTTCTGGACTGAGCGCTGGGTTGATGACAGTCAGGGAGGCCAGCTCAGGTCATTAGTCTAACCACGTCAGTACCTATATGCTGCCTACATAGCTGAAAGCTTTTTCTTTCTGCCCTGGACTCAGCCTACGCTCTCCATAGCCGTGAAATGCTGCACAGGCAGCTGTCGTATTCCTCCTTCCAGGAGATCAGCCAATGTCTATGTATCTTTGTCTAAATATTGAAATATCTTGTCTAAATGTCTTTGTCAGAAGCTTTAAAGAGCCAGTGTCTCTCCCTCATCTCACCCCATCATCTTTTCCAAGTGCCTTCTTGTTTCTTGGAAAAAAAAAAAGCTTTTGTTCTGCTAACAGGAATTGTGTTACATTGCAGTTCCATTTAATACCAGTTTTTAATCTGTGGTATTTCAGTAAAGGGAACACACACATATGTGTGTCTGAGAGATGTCACTTCAGTGTGATTATGATAGAAAAAAAATACCATGGAGCCAGATTTCTACCTCCCCTAAAGAAAATGAAGCCTTCTTTACAGTCAGATTTTAAAAAGAAAAGTAAAAGTTTTAAATATCATGGAAATGAAGCACCACTGCATCTCCCCTTACTGATGAATTGCAGCGGCATTTAACAAGATACCCGACTTCTGTGCTGCATTAAAGGGAAATGTCATAGTTGTGTATATAAAAAAACCCTATATTTAATTCTCTACATGCAGCCATTTTAATGTAAGGTCAAAGTTAAAAGGTGATTCAGTCATGAGTGAAGGGCTGTTGACAGTATCAGCCTTGCCAACTGTTTTGTTTAAAAAGATTTCTTTCACTTCGTTCCATATAATGGCACCTTTTATATTACTGGACACTCCCCCCCCCCTTCCCCCCATCCTTCGCTCTGATGAAGAACGGCCAGAGGACTTGTCTGAACAAAATACAAATGCTAGCAAGACCTATTACTTCTGATTTCATACTATGCCATGATAGGTCTTTTTTTTTCAAAAGAAGGCGCTGCCTATGGAATGAGAGTTACTACTATATTGCTTCAATCAGATGTAAAGAACGGTCTCTTTGATACCCTTTCTGAGACAATCTGAAACCCAGCATTCCATAAACCAAACTATTTCTTACAGGCTTGTGACATCTTCTGCCATGACAGTGGAATAACTTTGCTTTTTTTTCTTTTTTTCTTTTAAGAAACAGTTCTCCCTCAGAGAAATGTGTTGATCTCTCTCTTTCATGAGCACTTTTGTGTAGAGATGGCCTTTTCGAGGACCTCGTCCTTGGATGCTAGGTGAAGGGTAGCAAATGCAAAGCAAGCACGGGCATTCTTCAGCTTCATTACAGTGCCATCAGATGGAACAGGATCATTTCCACATGCCAAACTGAGTGTTTGAATTAAGTCCTCAACTGTAAAAGGTGTAGCGCCTGCCTCTTAGCTTTTGCAACAGAAAGCCTTCTAGCTTCTGCAGTATTACATGAAAAAATACGAAATCTCTGTGGTTGCACGTCAAGAGTTTAACTATTAAATTTACTGATGCCAGAGCAGAGATTCAGTGTTGTAGAAGATGTGATTGAAAACTGCAAATGAAACAAAAAAAAACCAAACCACAAACTGAAACCTAGAGAGATTATGTCTTTGGAATTTTAAATAAGTAATGTCTGACCCTGAGCTGAAATACTATGTAAAAGAGTTATGAGACTTTCTATTATTCTGCTGTAATTTGTTAGCAGGGCAACTGTATATAGATAATTGTGTTCATCTTGTTAAAACATTTCTTACATTAATTTCCTAGTATTTTTCCATTTGAAAGAGTGCATTAATAAGAGTGCATTAATAAGTTTTCCCTTGAGAGTGTATTAATTAGGGAGTATTTTCAAGTTAAAGTCCACAACAAATAAAGGCGTTGCAAATGCATAGTAAATTAAATTACTATAGCCATTTTTAGGTTTAATAGTTACAATACAGTTCAAAAGATGCTTACCTACCCCTAATCATATGTAGTGATACTCAGGTGAACTGGAAAATGTTTCTAGAGCAGGGAGTTACAGGCTTGGAGCTGTGTATCACACTAAATGCTGTAATAATGTTGGCATATGAAATGTCATGGTGCAAGAATTTACTTGATAATTGTCTTGAGTAATATATCATTAAGGGAATCACACATTCATGGGGTAGTTTGGGTTGGAAGAGACTTTAGTAGGCCATTTTATTCAACTTCCTTCTCAAAGAGCGTGACTTAATTAACTTAATTTTCATTACAAGGTAATTTAAGGATTGACCCAAATCTCAGTCTAAGCTTGGCATACAGTCTTGAGATTGGGGCAATGAGACAGAGGATTCAATTTATATGAAAGGACGATTTTTGATCTGTGAGAACAGGATTTCTAGGTTCTGTTACAGCAAGCAAAAGGGTGAAACATCTGGATCTCAAACAGCACAGATGTCGATGCGTGATGTAGTTGAGAGACAGCTTATTAGTTGGATTTCCATGAACTATGCACTGAAGTAAGTGTGCTTGGATGCAGCCAATAAACCGTGGCTGGAAGAGGAAGGAATTTAGAACTAGCTGCAAGAATTTTCTCTTCACTGAAACTAGTGCTCAACTCTCTGAAATCACTTTGTTACTGCAAATCAATTTCACTTTGTAGCCATTAGATAAAACTTGTTTTAAAATCTGTGTAGAAGAGCACATAACTAAATGGAGTTGTGTGGAGGGGTGTCTCTTCCCATCTGGGAAGAGTCAAGAATACTGCTTAATTTTCAGTTAAGTTTCAATTGGAGCTCTGGAAGTTTTGATAGGGATTTGCCATGACTTCTTTGCACCACTGTCTTGTTTTCAAAGAAGCTTCCAAATTTCAGTGTACTTTATTTGGTTCATTTTCTATGTCAGTGTACTATTCTGCAGTTTCAAGACATAGGTCAAAATGCCTGGGAATTTGACAATCAGTACTTTTTCTTCTGCTTTATCTGAATTTGATAGAGAATTTTCCAAGGAAAGAGAAAAAGCCAAGGCCCGAGGGGACTTTCAGAAGCTACGTGAAAAACAGCAGCTTGAAGAAGATCTGAAGGGATATTTAGACTGGATTACGCAGGCAGAAGACATTGACCCTGAGAATGATGAAGAGGTTGATGAGGAAGGCAAGCGGAACAGTACGTGTTCTTTACTACTTCTATGTGGGACAGTTTGACTGCTTCTAAGGGTGTTACACTGGGGTGAACGCAGCCTATCTAATGTTACTTTATGATTTCCAGGGTGCAGAAGTGTTTGTTAGCAAAGCAGTTACGTCTATTATATATTGATAGTTAGTCAAGGAAGATAATTCAGAACCTTACGACAAAATTCTGTTCCAAGATGTCCCTGTAAAAATTATTGTCTGTGCTCAGTCATTATCGAGACCTAACAACTGCTTTATTTGTATTCTGTAAAAAGTTAGTGCTTACAAGCTACGTGCCATCATAAATCCGTAATCAAGAAGAATATGTGTTTGCTTGTAAGTTCATGCAGGAGAAATAATAATATAAAAAACTTCAAAACTATGACCAAAAGGACAGTCAAGAAATAATCTTGTCCTAATAATGGAGATTTTTGTGAGTTTGGAAGCAGGGAAATGGCATTCTGGATTTTTCTGATGTTCGAGAAAACTTTTTTTTTTTTTTTACTACGTACATTAACTGAATGTGAAATAAATGAAATCTTATGGGATTTTTGTTCAATGCTAAGAAATACAGTTATCACTTATTTGCAATGTCTTTATTTGACAGTACTGTACAGTGTATTATGGGAAGGTAGTGGCAGCAGCAGCCCTATAGTGCTTCTGGCTTGAGTACTAACAGAAAGGGACGAAAGTTACCTTCATCATATTGCAAGAGCTGTGAAAGTTATAATCGATTTGTCTATGTCAGAAATTTCAAGTAACTTCAGTATTTTAATCTCATAATTTAGTAGAGATTATTTTAATGTCTTAGACTTGCTGGATGTAAATAAGAACATGGATTCAGGATGTGGTTTATGATTTATTACTAAGCATAAAATTGAAGCCCAGATTTCCATATATATATATATATATGTACACTAATGCTAAATAGCACCTTGTTATTCATTTGATACTCTGGAAAGTCATGGTATTTATTCAGTTAGATACCATTGAGTATATCTAAGAAAATCTAACTGCAGGTAGTTTGTCAAAGGCAACTCCCAGTATTATTTTCTGTGTTGAAATAATATATTATTACTGTTCTTTTTCTTCTAGTGCTGCTAATTTATTGTGAACTGTTGTTTTAAAGCATAGTGCTTTTAATCAGTAGTAAAACAGTGAAAATTACATGGTTTAATAGTGAGGTATCTGTTTTAAAACTTATCTCTGCATTGCATAGGGTTAATTTTCTTTACGTCTTGAAGTTTCTGAGTTTCAGAATTTTACTAGTCCTTTAGTTTGCAATAAAAGGAGGGTAAGAATCTATGTTACTGACTGGAATGAAATGATAATTTTATGAGAGGCCAGAAGGCAACTTGTGGGTTGATGTTGATACCAGTATCACCCAGAAGGGAGTAATTTATATCTATGTGAAAGTCTGTAGCACCAACATAGCGTTTATCTGAAGCAGAGAAAAAAGCCAAAGAATTCACTATACTTGGTTATTGCTACTAATTGTGTGTGGCAGGAATATGTAAACTGTGGGCTTAAGTAGCAGCATAAAATCCTAAAACTGAGAGGTAAAAGACTGCACATTTTATGGAGTAAATGCACTTTGTACCGGAGTGCCGTGCAGTTGTAGGTGGTGCTGGATTTGCCCAGAGCCTTGGACAGACGTGCTGCTCTCAGCTGTGGTGCTGGTGGACTTTGGGTTTTCTGTTTGTACATATCTGTAGCTCATAGTGGGCACTTATTCAGTGCTGTTGAAGGACTGAAGATCTTTTAGCTGCTAGAATTGTAAATACGCTTTTACTTGAGTACAAGTCATTTCAAGTCAAGTCATTTATTATGAACCGATAGCTAGTTACACTGAAGTCAATGAAGAAACTTCCATTGGCTTTGAGGCATTGCCAGTTGAGCTCAAAATGCAAAAAATCAGTGAGAGATGAGGGATTTACCTCTGAATAGTTAGGCTGCCGGTAATTTCGATTTGTTTTGCTTAACATTGCTTGTGTTGTGTGTGGACACATTTTTATTTTTTGCGTTGCAACTGCTGCCACCTACTGTGTAAATGCTGGGATTACGCGTGCTTAACGCGAAGGGGTTACACTGGCTGACTTAATGGAGGAGAAGAAGAAAAGCAGACTTGGTTGCTTTGGCCGTTCTTCCAATAAACATGGTAAAACGTGTTCCGATTTGCAGTTGAACTTTGTTTTTTGCCAATACTGCATTTGATGCGTTGGCTTTTGAAAGCACATACTTTGTGCGTTTTCTCTGACAAAGACTTCAGCACGTCGACCCTCCTGCATGTGGTTCTGCTGATTTAAGTGCATGTTTGAAATAGGCTGGTGCTGCAGTGCTCTGCCTTCTTAAAGCATAGTCTTTAATTTGTTTAAATTTCCACTGAAGTGCCTTTGTCTGTGACTGCTCTTGTTGAAGCATAGGCTTTCTTTTTCAGAAGTTGGTTAAACCGGATTAAAAAAAAGGTAATTGAAATTAAAGGGTGGAGAAACTGGTCAAAGTATTTTACAGGCCTTATAATGCATCACAGTGTAAGCTTAGAGCAGTGTGATGATATTTACTATATTTATAATATTTTAATGTATCAAAGCATAGCAAACTTTTGCCATGTCTCCTCTTATTACCAATGGTTTTTTTTCCCATAATTTGTTTTATTCAATTTATTTCACACCTACAATGGAGATGGACAGAGGTTTTGGAGTATGGCAGTTATTTTCAAATTTGCAGTCTTTTAATACTGGCAAACATACTGAAAACTGTAATAATTAGGAGACCTAGTTTTAATCCGACCTACAACAAAACTTCTGGATCAACTGAATTCCTTGCTGTCCTAAGAATACCTGTGGTGGCCCAGACTGAGGCTGACAGATCTGATGCAGTTGCTTTAGAGAATGCAGATTGTTGTGACAGAAATTGCTAGGACCTGATGGGCTTATTTTCTACAAATACTGATTCTACTTGAAGTTATTTGTGTAACTATCTAATAGCTCACACAGCTTTTACGGGCTACAATAATTTTCCTATTAAAATTGCTGAAAGACAGTGGTTGCAGTTTTACTTGGGATATGTGTTTCAACATTGCTTTTCAACTAGCCGGCTGAGGTTCTCATCTCAGTCATCAAGCAGCGCAGAACTGGCTGAAAAGTTGCTGTCATCTGCTGGTCGCAAATGCAGTCTTGCTCAGCTAGTCAAGCAAGACCTGACCTGGCTAGTCAGAAGCATTCTGAAGCACATGTACACTGACTTGGTTTCATTGGATTTTTGCAGGGCAAGTATATTTTTTATGAGTAGGATTTTTCCAAATTGTAAACTAGTGGCCTAAGTCTCTATTTTTTTCTATATTTGTGAGACTATTGTGCTGATCTGAGTAGCTCAAACTTTGACTACTATTGGATTAGAAATACCACCTTAGTTTTTTTTCTTTGTATTACCTCTGCTTTTATTCCTATTAAAAGCACCACATCTGAGATTATACAACATTCATAGTGTCATCCTTCAGACTGGAAGTGGTTGGTTCAGTGGTACTTCTGTAATGAAGACTGGTTATTTCGCTCTCCTTCCACTGCTGTGCAACCATTCAACCTTTATACTGAGTTTCCATAGGCTGCCTGGAAAAAGAGAGAGCCTATAAAAGTGATTGTTGATAGTATCAACATTAAATCTTCACTATGAGAACGGATACCTCGTTACAGTATCATGTAGAGCATCTTCCAAGCAACCCCTCCTTAAACTGAATTTACCCTGAGGAGCTTCACAGTCAGAGTAGGTAGTACGACTTCCTTCTGATATGTTTTCTGGGCACACAGCAGACTTACTTAGGAAAATTTGAGTTGAATTTGCAATGATAATGTTGCGTTTTTGTGGTTTTTTTGTTTGTTTTTTCCTGTTTGACTATTTCAAGGATTTGGTGTATTCAGAAAAATCTCTGTACTAATTTGAAAAAGTATTAGGAGAATTTTGGAGCTCATAGAACTGGTTGTATGTTGCTAGCAGACAGAAGATGACCGCTTTGCAAGGTTGACCTAAACTTTGTCGGTATAGTACCTTCTTAGATAATTGTAGGTTTTTCTCTAGTAGCTGTTACTGGTTATCTGATGAGCTGTGCAGATCATTCCACTTCTGCAGCTCTTTCTCTTCAGCACATGTAACCAGAAAACTGCCCAAGGTGCATCACTGTGGAAATGAGATCAGCTTGGTTGAAGTTGAACTAGATTAAAATATTAATTATATACTTTCTAGAGGAAAACATTTCCCACAATCATATTTTTCACCACAATTCAATAATTCAGTGTGTAATTTAACCTGTTTCTGGATTCTATAGCGACACTACATTATAGTATCATAGGATTATGGAATTTAGTTCTTCCAACCCCAGCGGGCTAGGACGTGCCAGCGCTGATGGACGCTGCCTTGCTCTGAGCTATGTGTTAGTTATATTGTGTCCTGGAGTGGAATTTGAAATCTCTGCTTCAAAATCTGAAAACTATTTATTTAGAGTAAATAGTGAGCATTATAACATGAGGAAAACAATCTATTTTCTTATCCACAGAAATAAAACGTAGTAGTTGATGTATTTGACCCATTTTCTGTATACTCGGGAAAGTATTAAGTATTAAGCTGCATGGTATCTGGGTTGTTTATATTGCCTAATGCAAGCATTCTTTCATTTGAAAACAGTTACAGTAATTGAAGAGAGCTGATATTACCTAGAAATCTAGATAATCTTTCCAGAAGAATGACGGTAAAAAAAAAGGATGAAAAGTGAGTAAAGAATAGGGTATCTTCCTCTGAATGCTGGAGTACCAGTTAAAGGTCTCAAAGCTGGCCTTATTGAGATTGGAGGGTCTTCCAAAAGTTCATTGTGTGCTGTACTTTGCCCATTGAACACGGCCCTTAAAAAGCTGCGCTGATGAAATTGAGTCTTTTCAAGACTTGCCAGGTTGCTTGCATTAGTGAGAGTGGATGTGGTGACGTTGCTGTTTTTTTCTGTCTAGAGATGTAATGACTTGCTAGCGTTGCTGGAGCTAGACTTCCACGTGGTGCCTTTCTCAGTACTTCTGTTAAGTTCTTTAATTTGGCATATAAATTGAAGGATAATGATAGCTGAGTTTCTAATTCAAACTGAACTGACTATAGTTCTCCTTTGCCTCTTCTGTTTCGGTAACACAGCACCTACAAGTCACTAACAGAGCAATACCCTGATCTGAAATAGAGTGGAACATTCTGGCTGTATTTAATAACTAGCAAAACTGCATTGACTTCAATAGGGACAAAGGTTTTTTTCTTTGGTATTTTGATTTTTTTTTTTGCAGATGCGTTCAAAAAGGCTGGAATTTCTTAGTGGATTAACACAGCAAGTCTGGGATTATATTACTTTACCCTTATTCTTTTTAAAAATCGTGTAGCATTTATTGGAAAAATAGCATTCGTGTGACACTTTTTAATGAGAAACTGGAATCTAGATCCAGTTCTAGGTCAAAACAGAAGAACCTTGGGAAAGAAGATTTCGCTGCGCTTACTGCCTGAAGAGCTGTGTTTGTTCAAACACCTGCTTGGACATTTTGGATCTTTTTTTGTTATTCCAACTCTGTGCCTAACATTTCCTGTAATGGTGACTTAGATTTATGAGGGCAGATTCTCAGCTGTTGCAAATAACAGCCGAGCATCCAGCCTGCATAGACCTGCCAGTCTCTCAAGCTGGGTACTGTAGGTGGGCGCGGAAACCAAACTACCATTTACCACTTCCATCTAGCACTGTGTCAGTGTTCAGACAAATAGAGCCTGTGCAGAGAAACTCTTACTAACAGTTCTCATTTTATTCCTGATCTGTGGACAAATCAAAAAATTCAGGGCTTGATTCTCTAGTCTCACTTGATTTGTGTGTGATGAAGCCTGCTTTAAGGCTCTTTAAGCTTTTATTCTACCAAAGTTGTGGGACGTAGCTAACAGAAACAGACATTGTAGCCCCTCTGCCTTCGTGCTCCCAGCCTACAGGCCTTGGCATAAACCCTTCCCAACAAGATGAAAGAGATAAACAAGTAAACCAAACAAGAAAACCATCAAAACAGCAGAAGGTACAACCCAGAATACCTTTAAGATACTCTGTTTTCTTTTGTTCTTGCTCTTCTATAGTAATTTCAGTGAATCTTCTACCTCTAATTTTTTTCCTGCTTTATTTCTACTGTAACCAGTGGCATAAATTTTACACTTTTCTTGTTCCTGAGGTTTTCATTTTGTGCTTGCTTTGCAGACATGAAAGTAGTGTTCTCCCCTAGAAAATACTAATAATTTTGCTATTCATCATTTCCTAGTACCTTTTGACATAAGTTGTCCTCCCTCTAGATTTCAGTTGAAGATATGCGGCGATGACCAATCTGCAAATGAGTTTTGCCTAAAAAACCCCATTGACTATAATCACTGACTATTCAGTAATGATCTGCTATATGTGCAGGAATTCACTGTGTAGCAAATGGAGTAATCCCCTGTTTATTAGTAGTGATGCTCACCATCCCTTGCAGTACCCATTCTGCCATTGCCAGTGCTCCTTTGAGCCTACTCATGTGGTATTTACAGGGACAATTACTTTCTAACGTATTGTCTTTGTAATTTATAATGGAAGTAAAAGTGCAGAGTAGTCTGTATGAACAGAGTGTGAGTTGCTATTTTCAGAAGAATGTTGATGGTTCTTGGAATTAGCGAGCATGCGAATAATGCTTAAACTGATAAGTGCCTCCAGAGTGTTAACAGAACACTTCTCAAATGAGAGGTCACAAAATAAAGCTCAGATTGATTCCTTTACTAGAGATAGCATACTCTTTCTTACAAAACTCCTCTACATTGTATTCTGTAGCACATTTTCAACAGTTATGTTAAATCTGTGGAAAGAAACAAAAAAAAAGCTGCGAAACACTCTGGAATTCTGTGTGCTTTCTTTTGTTATAAGAGGAGGACAGATGAAGTGTCAGACTTCATCTGCTGTTCCTCAGATCTTCCAGGCTTTCATTAGACCTGCAAGAAGTGGAGACATTCTTGCAATAGAACAGCAGGATGCCTTGCCTGGCTATTGATCTAAAGCAATTTATCTCTCCTTACAGCAAGCATGCCCACCAGTGAAACTGAATCAGTCAACACAGAAAATGTGAGTGGAGAAGGAGAGAACCCAGCATGCTGTGGGAGTTTATGGTGAGTTCATGGACTGTTTGCAAGTACCCACCCTCATCATCTGAAAATTTAAAAGAATCGTTCTTTCCCCGTTGTTTATTTAGCTAAAACTGCTTTCAAATAGTCAAGCTTTGTATGACACGTGGCGTTCTTTTTCCTTTCTGTGGTTTAATATTAGACCTCTTTTTACAGCATTAAATCACTCCTAAAGTTATCAAGTTAATGGTAGAATCATAGACTACCAGGTTGGAATGGACCTGAAGGATCATCCAGAGGGACCTTGATAGGATTGAGAAATGGACCAGTGCAAACTGCACGAGCTTCAACAAGTCAAAATGCAAGGTCCTGCATCTGGGTCAGGCCAATCCTAGGCACAAATACAAAGTGGGTTGAGAGTAGCCCTGAAGAGAAGCATTTAGGGGTGTTGATAGATGAGAAGCTCAACATGAGCCGGCAGTGCGCTCATGCAGCCCAGAAGGCCAACCGCATCCTGGGATGTATCAAGAGAAGCGTGGTCAGCAGGTCAAGAGAGGTGATTCTCCCCCTTTGCTCTGCTCTTGTGAGACCTCACCTTGAATACTGCGTCCACTTCTGGTGCCCCCACCATAAGAGGGACGTGGATCTGTTGGAACATTTTCAGAGGAGACCACAAGGATGATCCAGGTGCTGGAGCACCTCTGCTACGAGGAAAGGCTGCGGGAGCTGGGGTTGTTCAGTCTTGCAAAGAGAAGACTTTGGGGGGACCTAATAGCTGCCTTCCAATACCTGAAGGGAACCTACAGGAAGGCAGGGGAGGGACTTTTTACAAGAGTGTCCACTGACAGGACAAGGGGAAATGGGTTTAAGCTGAAGGAGAATAGATTTAGATTAGATCTTGGGAGGAAGTTCTTCAGTACGAGGGTGGCAAGACTTTGGAATAAATTGCCCAGAGATGTTGTGGCTGCCCCCTCCCTGGAGGTGTTCAAGGCCAAGTTGGACGGAGCCTTGAGTAGCCTGATCTAGTTGAGAGGTGTCCCTGCCCATGACAGGGAGGTTGGATTAGATGATCTCTAAGGTCCCTTCCAGCCTAGGCCATTCTATGATTCTATGATCATCATCTGGTCCAGCCTTTCTTGGCTGGGCTTTCTTGGTTCAGCGAAACAATTCAACTGAACTTCCAATGGAGTCATGTTTTGCTGAAACCTTTTATGAAATGTAAATGTTGTCCAAAATAATCTGAAAGAGTGGAAGTCCCTTATGGCATGTAAAAAGAAACATTTTCTGTTAAATTGTGCATGATCTGGAGAATATGTATGTTTTTTTAGGCAATAGCTGAATATATGGAAGTATCTCTGTATCCCATGGTATTCACTATTTATTTGCTCAGGTTTTCATGACTTCTGAGCAGCTTCTACATGAGCAGTTTATTTAATTAGTTTTAAGGAGATTTCCTGTCTTTCACTTAGAAAATTTATAAAGGTTTAGGAATGGTATTTCAGATAATAAATACTAGGCAATAGAATTTCTGTATGCATGATGCATTTTGCTAAGAGCTTTTTTTTACATATATGTAATTCTAGTGTAGTGATTTGCAGAATTTTAAAGAGAATGAATTTGTGTTCATTTCCACATTCTTAAAAATGTACTTTCCTTTTCTTCTAGTCAAACCATCTCAAAATCCAAGTTCAGGTCAGTATTTTCCTCTCTATTCATCACTTTTGTTCCTTGTGACTATTTACACATCATGGTGATCTCATATAATTGATTTTTATTTACTGTACTTTATTCTTCCTAACAGTTACTGGTGAATACGGAAGTAAAGTATCCGTGAATACTTCTGGAAATCAAACTTCCTGATTTGCATTGCTGATATTTGTGGCTCTCTTTTCACTCACTAGGAGAATTTGGGAATATGAGCTTCTATTTTCAAGTATGTTTGCAGAAGGGAAGCCTTATAAGCAAAATTCAGAATTAATAGTCCTATTGTAGACAGTGGATGTGTCAGTACAGAACCTATAGGTTTATTTTTATTTTATTTTCCAGTCTCATGGGACATATATTTAGTAATTGGAAGGGATAACTGCAAACATAGATGAGATACGTCTTTCTGTTTAAAAAGTTTAGGTTACTCCAGGAAGGAAGGAAAAAACCCAAAACTATGTGATTTAAGGTAAGTAATCAAATGGTAGACTTAATAAATCCTGAAGGACAAAGACACTCCTACAGTTACAGACAACCTACAGAATAAATATTTTTCACAGAAAATTTTCAGTGAAAGCGAGATGATCAAGGAGATTTGGCAACATCTGACATCAGCAGTTTTGCCGACATGTGGAATTGTTCCAAGTTTTTAACCCTAGTGCAACTGATTTCAGTGTTGGATATAGAGCAAGTAATTCATTGGTAGCAGCAGTGTATTCTCCTTCCAGCAGTGAAAAGGAATATCTTACCCAGGCTTGTTCTACTAGCCTTGCTAGCTCTGATCATCTACCGGAACTGACCAGTTGCAAGCAGTTGGAGTGGACTTGTGTTCCTTCTGAACAGTCTTCTTTCTTTTTTGAAGAGCTCCCAGGCAGCACATATCTGGTACTTTTCTGCACTGAGAGGTTTTTTTCATGTAATGCTATGATCAAGCTTTACTTTTGTCATCCCTTTCAGCCAGCAAACTGGTGACAGTATGTGAATGTGCCTCAGTCTGATGAAGACTGTAGCCAATGGAGATCTGGCCATTTAGGACGGTAGCGAATACACAGCTAAGTTTTTAGAAGTCTCATCATTAGTTATAAAAGTTGTTTCATTTCTTGTATGCCTTCTGCTAGAGAAACTGGCCTTAGATACACTAACTGAACAGGCCGGTTATGTCCATGTGGACTTGTGGACATTCTAAGCCAAATGCTAAATCTGAGTCTAATTCGTGGTCTTCTGGCCTGATCCTTGCTCCAGCTTCGGCAATGTTGTTCTGCAATGGCAGTACACTGTTTCAGGGCAAAGTAAATCAGGACGTAGCTTATCAAAGATTTCACCTTAAACATTTTTTGCCTTTGGATCAAAATAGATGGTGCTTTTTGTTGCAAGCTAACCTACCTGGTGTACCACAAGGGACAAATAGAAGTTAATCTTTGGAAATATCTTTCTATACAGTCAGATGGCTACTTGGTCAAGAGTGTTACATCCTAGCAAGATAGAGCATTTATCTGCTGGTTTATTAAGTGAGGGTGTATCTTAACCACACATTATGCTAGGATATGTAAGGGTAAATATGATCCATGCTGTGTATTTATAATCTTCCAGGTGGAATTTGAAATATTTTTATACCAGAGCTAACTGTGTTTTCTTCTCCTTGTCACTCATTCATTTCACAAACATTTGCTTGCTGAAGCAATTTCAAAGTACATAAAAAGAAATCTCTCGGAATCACTGACTGAAATTTCAGACATTATAGGGTAGATGTCTAAAAGTTGACCTCAACATTCCTCGCTTGTTTAATCTTGACGGAATTGTGCGTGTAGTTTAACTCAAAGTGTATGTTTTCAGACCAGGTGTAATCTGAATTCTACGCTGCTTCATAGATTTTCTTTGTTGCTATTAAGTGTATGGGGCCTGGGAAGATATATCTTCAGTGAAATGTTAAATGCAGCTTAATCTAATTTTGTCACAGGCAGTTAGAGTACAAAAGCTGTGGTTTACATCTAAAAATATATAATGAAAACTAAGAAGAGGAATAACAAATTAGCACTCCCTAATCTGCAACTGGTAATAATTTACACAACTATCTGAAGTATTCTGCACATATTTGTGATACGTACTTGTGATATGTTTTCTATGCAGAAAAAAAACCTACTTAAGTTCACGTGTTTTTTCTATATAATAATAAATCTGTTTTTATTTGAACTTTCAGTCGACGCTGGCGTCGCTGGAATCGATTTAATCGAAGAAAATGTAGAGCTGCAGTAAAATCTGTCACATTTTATTGGCTTGTTATTGTCTTGGTCTTTCTGAACACATTAACAATCTCATCGGAGCACTATAATCAACCTGACTGGCTGACCCAGATCCAAGGTACAATCAAAAATTATTTGTCCTGTTTTGACTATGGATAGTTGCATTCCGTCAGTGGCTGCTTTTGCACTTTGCCATTTTTGTTGTTTGCTGTCCTGAAGGATATTCAACCTAGCCAAAGGGAGACACAAGAAATGACTTAATGTATTTGATTTCCACAACTGTAACACAGCTTAGTGGTATACCAGCAAAACCCAAACGGTACTAAATTATAAATACCTGTGCTTTTATTGTTAAAACATGCTTGAAGGACGGGGAAGGAGACTGTAACTGGCACAACCGAACATGCTATGGGCTGTGTTGCTCAGGTTACTGTGTGGACTCAAGCTGTGAGTTGAGCAGCCATGCACTGCACAACGGATTGGAAAGGTGAATTGTTTATAGGTGTCGGGAAGCTTTACATCCTTGTGTACCTTTTGCCACATAGGCATCAAACACAGTCCAACATAAAAACCCAGTACTTCCTTCTTAAGCAAAAGGCTGTGAACTATTATAGAAAGTAGAGTACTATTATATTAAAATAAAAATAGAATCTATGAGACAATTCAGAAATGTCTTTTTCTTTCTTTCCTTTTTTTTTTTCTTTAAATATTCCAGATATCGCAAATAAAGTTCTTCTGGCTTTATTCACCTGTGAAATGTTAGTAAAGATGTACAGCTTGGGCCTACAGGCTTATTTTGTTTCTCTTTTTAACCGCTTTGATTGCTTCGTTGTTTGTGGTGGCATTGTCGAAACCATTTTGGTGGAGTTGGAAATTATGTCACCCCTTGGAATTTCAGTGTTTCGCTGTGTTCGTCTCCTGCGTATTTTTAAAGTAACAAGGTAAGATTACCTAATACTGCTAACTTTAGGGATAGCTGAAGGATGATCAGCAGTTCTTTTGTAATACTTCATCATGTGCTGCTCTTTTACTGTTTTGTTTGGGATTTTTTTAGTGTGTGTTAACACACGCATTTTAATTTATAGGCACTGGGCATCCCTGAGCAACTTGGTAGCATCCTTGTTAAACTCAATGAAGTCCATTGCTTCACTATTGCTTCTGCTTTTCCTCTTCATCATAATCTTCTCGTTGCTTGGAATGCAGCTGTTTGGAGGCAAATTTAATTTTGATGAAACTCAAACAAAACGGAGCACCTTCGATAATTTTCCACAAGCTCTTTTAACTGTATTCCAGGTAACTTTCTTTCATCCCCTATGAAGCATTTTACCTTTGATGATCAACAAAACTGTTTAAGTGATCATGTTGCCTGAAAATGAAACCATGAATACTATTTATTCAGTTTACTTTAAGTAGTATTCTGCTCATTAAGTTCAGTACTCCGATAACTCTGCACCATTTATACCATTTGTTTCATGTCTTATTTGATCTATCTATGCAACATAACTGTCATATTACTTCACAAAATTTAATCTCCTTTGTCCATCAAATATATGACTAGAAAAAGAGGTGGAATGTTGTTTTTATTTTAATCAAATTACTTTCTTTAACTTCATTAGCTATATAAAAGTTCAGCTATTCCCAAACAGGAAAAAGTAAGCAGCATTGCATATGAGTCATATCACATACTATAATTTAAAAATAAGTATGTATTTCTTTGAAGAGACACTTTCAGGTTTATTAAAATTTTAAAGCAGCTTGTCTGTTACTTGTGAAAAGATAGGGCCTTACTTGCCATTTACTTTTCACTATTTTATGTTCCTTTTTTTTATTTTCCCTGATTTGAATACTGGAGCTAGGCTAATGGATTTCATCTTTCTGGCCATTTTCACATTCAGCTTTGCACATTACCACAGTGTTGGGTTTCAGACATTGCAGATGAGTGTTTAAAGTTGACTCTGCAAGACTCAATTTTGAGTCGATTTCCTGTCTCTTTGGTAGAGGTTTCATCTAGTAGCTGCCCAGAGCAAGCAAAAGTCTTTCCATGTAATTTTAACATAAAGGAAATGAGAGATTTCCTTAAGAGCAAAAGTGTCCACATTTGACCAGACATTGCCCCTATAAAAAACCCTAAGGTTGTGCTTTCAAATTGATCTGAGTTGGATTTTACTCAGATTTTGCGTTGCCCCGTTTTCAAAGGACCGAGGCTTCCTTCAGTTTTGGGACACACCTGGGAGGAATCAATCTGTTGTGTCCTCAACAGCTGTAAAAATCAGCTTGATAAATTTAGGTCTCCAGAAATGAATTTCACAAATTGGTGTGCACATAATTTTCTTGAACAACCACTTAATTACTTAGGAGAGTCAGTACTATTTTTTTTTTCTCAGGATAGAGCTCCCCTATAACCTGCATTGTAATACACAGAGTTTTTGTTGTATTGCAGAAGTCTCACTGCAAACTATCCTTTTAACTAGTTGACAGATGTCTTTAAAATTCTTATAGACTCAATGAATTTATGTGAAACAATAACCAGTAAGAAAATCCTGTGATTCTTCCACAGCATGGAGCTCCATTCAGTTTAAAATAGCTGCTATTTCAAAAACTATAACAGTACTGTTTGTGTGTGGTACATGTATTATATAGTTTACAATAAGGTGGCCAGTCCTTGTTAAAACTAGAATTAGGTAGATCAGTTTTCAGAACTAACAAATGATGTATGCTAGAAAAGACTTGTGGCCACTGTTTCAAAAAACCCCACCATATTATAACTTGATTTTCAGGAGTGATGATCATTTGCAGCCGTTTTACTACACATGTGGCATTACTGAAAATAAGGCTCTTACTTTTGCATGCCAAAATCAGTAAAATTATAGGCTTCTATTTTTATTATTTTTACCTTTGAAGATGAGTGATATAAATGTGTAGCATAAAATTAAATGTAGTAGAGTTAAACCCAAGCTTTCAGGTTATGCTTATTAAAATGGAAATTTTAATATAATACATGAAAACGTATTTCTCTATTGCTCTTTTTTTATGTTACTGATAATATATTTGCTTCTTAGATTCTAACAGGGGAAGACTGGAATGCTGTTATGTATGATGGCATAATGGCATATGGTGGCCCATCATCGTCAGGCATGATAGTCTGTATATATTTCATTATCCTCTTCATCTGTGGTAACTGTATCCTTTGCACTCACTGGAGACATCTCCCATCTCCAAATGGGGCTGTGTGCCAGGGATATATATAAAATTTCTCTCTGAGGGATTAAATTGCAATGGACATACAAGCAATTCTGCATATGCTATGTCCTTTAAATAAACTTTTCTTTGTACACCCGTGCCCTGATGAATGAGACTCGTGATGTCCGAGTCCATCTCCAGCCGGCACAACGGCAGAAACCAGTTTTTCTTTCTTCCTTCAGTGGGAAAAAGCCTTATTCCACCTGCTTGCCTCTGGCATCTCCCCTTCTGAAAATGCATGCATGTAGCCTGGTTCCTCTGGCAGTAATTTCCCGTTCATCATTTTGAGGCTTGCTGTAGCCCTGTTATTTCTGACAGGCGCTGCCAGTGGAGCCAGTGATGCACCACGCAGGGCAGGGACCAGGTGAGAGGAGGCTGCACGGAGAAGTGTGGGGTCAGTCGGGATTAAGTCTGCTGAAGCATTCCCCTTCTCTTCCTTCAGCCTATTGGAAATGCTTCCTTGGCCCCATAAGGCAACAGAAACTAGTCTAATTCTCAGAAGTTCTTAAAAGGTCAGGAAGTGATAAAAGGGCAAAACCATTCTATTTTCTGTACTGTGTGGTACTTAACTGTTATGGACTGAAGTACAGAATTTGATGTAGATTGTTGTAGACACAGACGATATAAAAATGTGTTGTTATAAAAACAGATTTTTCAAAATACCTGAAGAGTCTTTGCTTTTAATAGACAGTGTTTCGTGTCTGAAACTTGCTTAGATGAGTGTAAAATTGAATTTCATTTATTAAAAAAAAAATACATCAAGTATTCTGCTTGAAAGTACTCTGTTTAAAAATAAGTGACCCTAATGTATCTCTGGTTATTTTACACTTAGTATTAATCTAGCCCACTAAATGAGTATTATTTGCACTACACCCCAGCATCACAACTCTCTATGCTGTAGGTTGAGAACATGTGTTTTATATCTCTCACATTGTCAGTGTTTATGCTGATAATAAACCAAACAAGTATAGTGAGGCATAATGTCCTTAAACTGATTTGAAATAGATATCTTGCTAAATGTCTTCTTGGCCATTGCTGTGGATAATTTGGCAGATGCTGAAAGTCTAAATACAGCTCAGAAAGAAGAAGCTGAAGAAAAGGAGAGGAAAAAGAATGCGAGGTAAAATAGCATGGGCATGTTGAACAAGCAGGAGAGGGAAGGAGGAGGGTACTGAATTCTTTTGTAAGAATTTTCCTTAGTTTTATATGAATGTCTTTACAATCTTTGAAATTTGTTGGGCTCAGGGAAAAAAAAATGGAAGAGTTTACCTAGACATTAAAATAAGACCTGATTAGTATGATTTTAGATAAAAGTTGGATAGTAATTGGGAAAATGGGGTGATTTAAGGACATAATGATAAGCCAACTGATATTTAAACATTGCCACGGTATGATTTATTGTGCAATTAGAACAAGAATGTATTTGTTGTTGCCAGGGCACAACTCTCTGTGGAATCAGTTCTCTAAGCCTTATATAGACAAGAAGAAAACCTTCCTTTGAAATCAGTGCAGGCCTATTGAAGTCAATGCAAGTTGTTTGTATGAGTCCAAGGGCACAGTTTATCCCTCTAGAAAGGGGTAATGATCACACATTGAATTTTTTAGGCATTAACATCTGGAATTTTGCTCAAAATTAGGAACTTTTAAATGGATCATTGCTTTCAAATGCAATAGATTTTATTGATCTAATGCCTTCAACTGTGCAAATAATTTGAAATATTTTACTGTGTGGTTTTAGGTTATGCCCTCTTAACTTTTTAGTAGAATTGAATATAGTTCACTTAAAATCTGCTGTCTTTCCATGACGTGCTTTGTAATTGTTATTGTCTTGTTTTGTAGAAAAGAGAGTCTGGAAAATAAAAAAAGTGAGAAGTCAGAAGGTGACCAAAAGAAGCCCAAGGATAGTAAGGTGTTTATTCTAAAAATCGTATCCTTTCTAAGAAGCAGTTTTACTAATTTTGCTAGGGAGTATTTTTCAAGACTCCCTGTGCATTGTACAATTTCTTCTATGAACCCATCAGACCTATACTTTTTCTAGGCAAAAGAAAGTTAGTTCTGATGGTTTGCGTTCTCCCAGAATCTCTTCATCCAGAAAATCCTTTTGGTTTCACGATATCCTGAGAAGGGAAGCTCTTAGAGCATGAAATCACAGAATGACAGGGGTTGGAAGGGACCTCTGGAGACCATCTAGTACTTAATGTTAGACAATTGTGACATTATTTTAGGGTCCCTGATAAATTAAATGGAAGAGATTAGTGAGTGATAAAAGCCTTCTCAGTAATTTTTAAAGCCTTTTGGTTGTATTCTCAGTGTGATCCATGCAGCCAGAAGAATGTGGAAGCTATAGAAAAATCAACTTATAAAAATGTATATTAAACTGTCAACTCTCTTCTATTCTCAGAGTTACCCTGTTTTAGAAAACTCAGACTAAACATAGGGATTACTTCCTTGACATCATAGGCTTATTTGGTTTGTCTTCTGCTGAACTTTATACTCAAAGCTATGTTTAAATTTATTCTTGTTCTTGTGCATGCCTTTCATTGCTGTAGGTGACAATTACTGAATATGGAGAAGGAGAGGATGAGGATAAAGATCCCTATCCACCCTGTGATGTACCAGGTATGTGAATACCAGCCTAAGACAAGCACATTTAAGTTTGTTTAATTAAAATACCCTAAACTTGCTCTTGCTGAAAATTGAATGAATTCTTTTGAAGTCAGTGAAGTTGTGCTCTGTTACCCTTGGATACATGGGCCTGTAGGCTGCTAAGTAGTTTCTTTTCCTGCAGCTTACTAAACAGTAAAAACAGCATATGAGAGCCAATACTGTGAGCCTGAAAACTGCTGTGGTAACACTATCTGGATGTGAGAGTGAATTCTAAACTTTTCTAAAACATTTGGAGAAGAACATTCCAGGGCTGATGATGTTCGGTCAATTTTGTCTCAGTTTCTTCCAGTCCAGTGAACATACTTAACCTAAAAATGAGTTTGTCTGATTCTCTGGATGTCTGTTACAGAAATCTGCCCTACCTTTTGAGTACTCAGTGCTCAGCATCCCTAGAGCACAGCTCAGGCAGGGACTGACTGACGGTCAGGGGCTGAGCTTAAGTGGGGCTCCAGAGGCCCTGTGCTGGGGTGAGGATGGGTGGAGTGCCCAGCTGAGCCTGGTCAGGGCCAGTAAAGGCTATTGGTGCACTCAGGGCACTTATACACACACACATATATATGCATATAAGCATGTGTATAAGCTCGTGACATCTCTGTGGAAGCTCATATATCGATTCATAGATTTTTTTTAAGTCATGTTATGAATATATATTTCCTATAAGCCATATATATTGTAACGCAAACAATGTTTTTATGTTGCTATGGACAGAACCTCAATGCTTTTTATTTTATAGTTAAAAAAAAGTGTTTAATTTAAAGTAGGTGAAGATGAAGAAGATGAGGAGGATGAACCAGAAGTACCAGCAGGCCCACGTCCCCGTAGAATATCGGAACTAAATATGAAGGAGAAGATAACACCAATCCCGGAAGGGAGTGCCTTCTTCATTTTCAGCAGCACCAATCCGTAAATATAATTTTGGAAAATAGAGTTCTAGTCCATAAGGATTTAGCAGTGAAGGAATAGGCCGCCTTCCAGTGAAAGGAAATTGGAATCTTTCACTGCTTGATCTAACTTCAGAGCATTTAAAGTTCTAATCAGTAGAAGTCGTTACTGATTGTTGGATGAAAGTGAAAAAGTGAACTAAATTCAGTTCCTACAGACTGGGCTTAGCTGTTACATTTATATATAGAAATTTTGTGAGCAGTCTTAGGAAGGGAGTTTAGGAGTTATTTGGCACGGGAGAATGCTGTCTTCTCGGTGTTAGAAATCATCGCAGGTTTGGAAGATGATGTGATGATCAGGACACAGTGTTTTGGGCTTTTGGCTTGTTCATTGTATGGGTTGTCTAAAGCTCTTCAGAATTTTCAAACGAACTAGAAAGAGAGCTAGTAATTTTAAGAACACATATGTTGAATGCAAAAACATTAGAGTTGTTGAACACGTCAGGATGCTTTTGGCCTCAACTAGTGCTACATATTCTCAGACGAGAATGGCCATCTTATTTAACTAAGATACACTGTACTCACATAATCAACTTAATAACAGGAGAACAAATTTTCAAGAACCTTCAGATCGTTTAGCAGAATTTATACTATTACAGTGTTAGTCAGTTAGGAATGTGATCTTGCCTTTTTGCCAGTTTAAATCCAGACCCACTCTAGCCGGGTCCTCAGCAGTGTTTGTAGTAACCTTGAGCTCTGAGCATCCGTACAGTTCTGTTGATGTTACGTGGCTGGAATTCTAGCAGCTCTGTCATCTTCAAAACCCACTTGTGTAATTCTCTAAGAAAATCTTCACGGGAGATTCTGATTTGGATTGAGTCTCTTAAGTAGCAGCCTAAGTTCTCTCTCACCAGATGTGTGTTCTTGACAGCTTTAATAAGAATCAAATCAAACTGGGATCTGAAATGACTTATTATCTAGTGCTAGTCCTTTTGGCATTGCCCTCTGTATGTGCAAAGTGGTACAAGCCCTGAAACTTGTAGTGGCATTCATAACCCATTGAAAACGAACAGGAGCTCAGAAATCCAGTCTCAGATTCCTTCAATAAGTGTATCTTCACTACAGGTGTATTGGATTTTGATTTTATTTACATTTTTAGAAACCAGAGCAGTAGCTTCAGCATTTGCACGGCTTTTAGCTGCTGCTGGTTGCTCTGTTGTGTCACTGTTGGCAGAATAATAGAGAACATGCTGTGTATTAACCATCTGCTGAAATCTATTTGCACACTTGGTATATTTTTGTATCTCTTTTGCAGAATTCGAGTGGGATGCCACAGACTCATCAATCACCACATCTTCACCAATCTCATCCTTGTCTTCATCATGCTGAGCAGTGTTTCCCTAGCAGCAGAAGATCCAATTCGCAGCCACTCTTTTCGAAATAATGTAAGCCCTTCATTTATATGTGTGAAGATAAATATATTGTCATAGGATAACAATTCTTTGAAACCAGTGCCCGGTTTTTAATTTTCAAGTTAAGAAAGTAAGAAATTTTGTTTCCTTTTTCTAGTATTTTTTTTTTAACGCATTCGTATTAGAACCATTTGTTATGTATGTACTATTTTGCTTTGTTAGCTATATCAGAATAAAATATGTTCAAGCAGAATAGAATCTTAATAATTTTCATATTTTTTCATAATTTTCAGCTAGAGTACCTGATACACTGTTTCCTGAATCACTCTTAGTGCCTCTGAGTATTTGACATTAATTTAGAAATGCCAGTTAAAATTATCACTGTTTATAGCACATTGGGAAGAGAGTCTGACCTGTCCCCTGTTCATTGACTCTATCATATGGTCTCGAGGAACGCAGAGTATCACTCTATGAGTGTAAGGATTTGTGAGGATATTACCTCTTCTTTCAAAGAAGCTAGTGTGACCACACTAGTGGGTTTCAGTACCACCACATCAGACTCGGAGATCCTTGAATTCCTGATTGGTTGTATCAGAAACGTAACAGGTTTCACTTTTTTCTAAACTCACGTGTAAGATGACGATCAGAGCATGCCCAGTCCTTGCCTTGATTCAGAATCAAATGCCATTTCAGCCTATATACAAATCTGAAAATTTCGAAGTGTTTCTGTATCTGCATCCTTTTTTAGGTATACTTGTAGAAATGAAATACTTGTAAGAGTAATAATTTAACAGGTGTCTTCATTGTTCAGTAAACATGTAGTTTAAGTGGTGAGTAAATGTATGTATTCTTTGAAAACAGATTCCTGAATTCCCCTTTTTAAGTTCTTAATATAGTAGAAGACTTGCCTGTTACCCAAATGCACAAAGGTAAATAAATCCCCTCTCGTGACCACTAATATTTGCCTAACACTTACCGCACTTGGATTAGTGGTGAAGCAAGCCTCAGCCTCTCCTGTTATTGCAAGCTGTGCGTGCTTTAGATTCAGTACGAAATACATGAGGCGATGTGACTTGGTAATAGTCTGTGGCGACTTCTTGGATACTTTGACACAACTTCTTCCACCTTTTACAGGAGAGATGAGCTACTTGGTCAGTAGAGGTTGTATCCCTCTAGTTCTTAGTGTAGATGCAGCCCTGAAAATTTCTCTTTTAGCTGTTGTCATTCTCTGAACATTTCTTCAGTAACATTAGTAAAAACCAGAAAGTTAAAACTTTCTACAAAGGTGAAAAGAGGTCAAAGCACAAAAACACTCGTCATGTACTATTCAGTGGAGCTGTGTGCTTCCCATATCTATAAAACTGGACAAGTACAATCTTATGAATAAATCACACTAATGGATAAGAAGAAGAGAGCTGGTGGGGAATACTCAAACTGTTATTGTAGAAATGGCTTGAAAGGCTGATAATTGGTTTTGTAACTAGAGGAGTACTAGGAAAATGTAACTGGAGAGTGGTGGTAACTGAAAGGATTATTCCTATTTGGACACAGGTAAAATGTGTGAGTGATTTGAAGGAGGCATTTTTGTAAATATTCACAAATTCACTAGAGCTGCATATTGTTCTTCTTACTACCTTAAATGATTGTCTTCCTTCAACCAGCCAGCTTGGCAACAAAATGAAAGTTTACAAATTGGAATGCCTTTTAAATATTTTATTAGAATTCTAGAATTAATTCCTTACTGATTAATCTTTGTTGAATGGCTTTATTATTTACCTATTTTTTTCAGCTACAGCAGAGGACACAAAGATGTGATCTTCAACTGAACACGGAGAAAAAAAATTACTTCCTTTTATATGGTCTAATAGGAATACTTTCTTAGTGTGTTGTCACTATTTTATTTCTCCTTCCCATTTTATTAGTTGCTGGACCACAGGCAATGTATTTCTGTGCACAACTGTTTGCTCGTTGGATTGCTTGATCCTTGAAACTTAACTAGTACGCTACTGCAGAGCATCTTGATTGCTAAGCTAGGTGCTAGTGATAACCACCACCGTGAAAGGGTGAAACCTTGGTTGTACTGAAACACACGGTGGTGGTCCTGTTGACGGCAGGGAGGTCAAACCACATCCACAATCTTTTAAGAGATTTGCATATCACGATGCAACTGTTGTGGCTACTTTTCAATTTCCCACAAATAGATCACTACTGTATCTTCCAAGTTCAAGAAGAAATGCATTGTAATGCTGATTTTAGGTAATTTAGTTATTTGTTAATTTGCTTTGTGACACTCTAACCCAGTCTATACAGAAACAATATAATGTTACAGAATATAGGATGGTGTGCAATCTAGAAGCATCTATTGAAGTTTTATTTTTTTAATGCAATACTTTGGTAAAAAACCACAAAAAAGCCTTAACTATTTCTTAACTATTTATTCTTTGAGTAAGATTCTGTATCTTTGCTAAAGGCTCAAGTATGTACCTGTGGAAGCTGGTAGAGGAAAGTCTGAATTGAAAGTGTTGCTTCATGAGTCCTATTAACTCCTTAGGGGTGAAACCTAGTATCTAAGCACAGTGGTGTCAGACACATTTTTAAGTAAATAAAAACGGTTGAACATTAGCTGGAATTTTAAGCTGATTTGTCTAAGTTCTCCATCTACCTACTTAGATTAATTCAGGTGATGTTGTGCATGTGGTCTAAATTGTAAAAATTTTATTAATAGACGGATTTCTTACTGTGGCACGTATTATACCTTGCAGATACTTGGTTACTTTGACTATGCTTTCACAGCCATCTTTACTGTTGAAATCCTGTTAAAGGTAATGCATTGTTAATTGATCCTTGTTATCTCAAAAGCAGCTTTAGCAATAATGTTTGTAACTTTTTGTTTACCTTCCAGATCCTAGGGTATGCAGATTATGTCTTCACTAGTATGTTTACATTTGAGATCATTTTGAAGGTAACAGGTTTTCAAAGGAAGTTTGTTTGAAAGGATTTTCCTTGTGTGTCACCTGCCAAGAAAAGGCACTTGACGTGTTCTTCGCCTTTTCTCTAAGCGATCAAAGCTAAACCTTTTTTTAAACCAGAGGATTTTTTTATTTGACAGTTCCTCATAGTTTTGATTGGTTATTTTCTACCATTGGGTGCATGAAGAAGCTGATTTTTTATCATTACATCAATTTAGTAATTCATTTTTTACCCTTTTTAAACTTACAGTTGTTAGAAAAGGGAAAAATAATTCACTGCGCATGAGCTTTTCCTTCTCCTTGCTCTGGCATTTCCAAAAGAGATAATCAGTCTTTTAAGGAGGGAGCATGTAATTTCTCATTTCTTTTGCTGAACTATATTCACAGAGCTAAAATAGTAGATAACTATTTTCTTGCAATAGGACTTGCAAGATATCTTGCATTTATCTATCTATATACTAAGATACTTCGCATTTATCTTGGGCATACATTTAAATACACAGAAAGGCATAAATATGCTTGCTTAAATGTATTACCCATGCATGAGCCAAAAATTGGCATTTTAATGTATTGTTTGTGTACTGATTATTATGAAAGTCCATTGGGGTTACTCACATTTTGGAAGTATGAGGCTTACTCTGGCAGAGAAGCCATATAACTGGAGATGAGGTTCACATGTAAGAAAAAGCTGAAAAAAGAAATCAAAATTTTTGGTGGGGATTTGCAGAATATTATTTCAGAGACTTAGGCACGATTCCTGAAAGTTCTTAAAAGTGCTATGCATTATTCACCATGAGGTTTTGGTTGAGTAACCCTAAAAATTTCTGGTGCACTAAGAATCTGTACATAAACTTTGCATTTCCAGTTGAGAATTAAGCTTAACAAAATCTCTTCTCCCAGCTTTTGCTCATATTGCTGTGCATACTCTTCGCAATGCGATTTGATTAATACCAATTGAAGCAATATTTGGGCTGTTTACAAGATAAGCTCTATTGCTAGTAGACAACTGTTTTTATGTTTGCAGATATTCTCCCGAACCTAGGTTTATCCCTTATTTCTCATTTTCAGCAGTAAGGAGCTTGCTGTAGAACTGATTTATCTTATAACATTTGTAGCTTTCTAAAATAAATATCTGTTTCTTTTACTGCTAGAGAAAGGCCAAACTAAAGAACAAAGCACTGAAAGGAGCTGTACCATTAGATCAAACTAGTTCCCTCTTCTGAATTTGTCAGTAAACTTCCACATGCTCTGAGCAGCGGGTTGTTTAGCTCCTGCATGTCCAGTTGTGTTTCTGTAGGAGACAGAGGGATTACATAAAGTGTGGCATAAAGAGGCATAACTGGATGTGTTAAGAAAGGCAACATTACTACTAACTGCAAAACATTCTGACACTGAGCAACTCCAGAGTTACCCAAGGCAAGTAGGAAGCTCTAGAGCATGGACTGCTCAAACCTGGCATTGTAAAATATTAGGAAACAAGAAGCCCCATTGTAGCGAAAAATGTTGATTCTTCTCGGGGGCCGGTTAGCTCAGTCAGTTGAGCGTGGCACTAACAACGCCAAGGTCACGGGTTCGATTCCCGTTCGGTCCCCATGTGTTGCCTGATCTAGTCGAGAGGTGGTGTCCCTGGCGGCAGGGAGGCTGGATTAAAATGATCTCTAAGGTCCCTTCCAGCCCAGGCCATTCTATGATTCTGACTCCACTTTCTCTACACATGTATTTGTAAAGGAAAATAATTTCTACCATAAAAAATTGTGATGGACAACCAGAACATGACACACGTACGTATACAGTGCCTGCTTTACTAACGTGTCTCAGACACAGGCTTGGCTTGCTTATGGCTGGAGTCCTCCATGTCTTCCGTGCTGGGTTTTGCGCTGTGCTTTCCGCAGTATCTAAGTTGTACAGAAGCTGCGTGTCTTCTGCAAGGAGTAAATTCAAGGGTACAGTAACAAGAGCATTCCAGGCATTCTCCAGGCAAAAAGTATATGAAATTGAAATTAGGATAACCAGAGGCAATATTATAGGTGAAGAAACTTATAAAGGTCCAAAACACAAGCATTAAAACAGAATAACTCTCAGCATGTGGAGTCTCCCTCTGCTGTTTTATTGACTGCTCTGCAGACATGAAGATGGTGATTAGTATATGAATGAAGGTATGAATAACAGAAAAGCTGCAACACCAGTTTAAAGCATTTTAAGAATTCTCTTACGTAATCCCTACGTGGCGTTGAAATCCAGTTTACCATCCTGTTTTTGCAGTGCTTGGGAATGGAAAGTTCAGGTTAGGGCCTTGTGCTTTTAACCTTGCCCCAGCTGTGCTCTAAACACGCACCATTTAAACCAGTCCCCACTGGCGTGGAATTACGGGCAGGAGGAAAGGAGCCCCCGTGCGTGGCTCCGTGAGCATCCTGCAGCATCTGCTCTGCCCTGTGACAGCCATCACACCAAATCCACTCCAGGCTTTGCTTCGCTCTGGATCTCTGCGAAGGATGGAGGGATTTGCTATAGAGAGTTTTAGCCAAATGCTTCCACTGGGATTTGTGGTGATAAAAATATGAGTCTCCATGTAAAAGTGGGGAGATAGGCACTTCACCTGTGGTTTTAGGTCAATGTATCTTTACCTTTGTGGGAGTCTTTACATGAAACTGGGTATGCTGCTAACTGGTAACACACTGCAGTGTACAAGAGTATTTGTAGAGAGATGGAAGCTTGATATTCAGGGTTGTTTTCATGTTCAGCTCCCACTAATTTGAATGAGTTTAGCTGTACTCTGCACAGCTGTAAGTGAAAAGAGCTAGGAATTTATTGGAAATTTTATAATATAATTATTATATCTCTTGTGTCATGGCATAGGTTAAAGCTTTAGGATTTTCATTATCCTAATTTTGAGGAACATTTCGTGTTTTGATCACGACAAGCAAAGTTTAACACAAGAGGAAGGAGAGAAGGGCTTCCAAGAAAAACACATCTTTCTTAGCGTGCATTTCCTTGCAGATATACAGCTTTCACTGTCACTGATACTTTTTCATGTGAAAGGCCTCCAAGTTTGTGCAGGCAAGTAGAGACACAGTAGTCGGAGATGTCCATTGACTGTAGCACTTTTCTACACTGTGGAACAGTCTTGAAAAAATATAGTAGTCCGCTGCAAGAGGAAAGGAAATAAAATCTTGTCGCTCCATCTTGAGCAACAGAAGAGAATAGAAAGTAGTGGGATTAAAACACACAGTCACTATCAGATGTTCTCTGACTGGCAACAAGTATCTGAGAGTACTCAGGTCTTTTTTAAGAGGAACTTGAGGCTGAAGAAATTAGAATCCATGTGCCTGGACTGACAATATTTTTTCAAAGATATGCTTATTTTAATTTCAGTGGTTTGGTCTTGATCCAGAGCAGTGGAAAACCCAAGCAAAATTGTGCTCAAGTACAGATTCTGTGCTTCTATCTGAATTCGTCTGTGTGTGGGTTTTTTTTTTTAATTGATACTTACTTGCAGTTATGGTAAGTGTCTAATTCATAAATTTAGGAGCCAAATTCATCTTTGTGATCCTTGAGAACATGTGCCTGAATTGTCTGCAGCCCCAATTAATAGAACCTGGTTCTGTGTGACTGGTTCCTAATGAAACGTGCAAATGATGCATGAAAATACCTTCACAGGATACCCTTGGGGTGCTTCTTTCATCTTAATCCAGGCACAGAAAGCAGAAAATGAAGAGAAAGTCCAGTAGGAAGGAAGAGCAATACTTGATATTCCCCACAGACCAGTGAAACTTGATGATCCTTGTCCACAAATAATACAGAACAATCCGTGGGTTGATTCAGATTATTCCAGGATACCCACTCATGATCTTAACAGGTCTCTTGTGAATCACAGACAAATAGCAGTGTCATGCTGCTTTATGACAGCCTCATGCTGGTTCTGTGCTGGCTTTGACTCTTGGATTTTTGCAGTAACATTTTCAGCTCCTTCAATTCTCACAGTGTTATGAATGATTTGGAGTCACCCATACAGTTTAGTAAGCATGGGAATTTCATGGTTCTTGCAGTCATTTTTCAAACAAAGGCCAAACCGATTCCATGTAATCACCTCAGCCGAAAAATATAGCATTTGTTGACTTCAGAAACAATCGACATATTTGCTGGTGTTGGTTGAACACTCTATCATTTAACTTGGAAGATGTACATAGTGGGATTGTTTATATCTCAATTGTTTTTAGGAAGTGGGATAATATGGTACATATTCACACTCTAGGCAAGTGTCTTGTAAACAGCCTAAATGTGAATTTGAGTAGATTGAAATATAGACTAAACATGTAACAATTCTATTTTTAGATGACAGCTTTTGGAGCGTTCCTTCATAAAGGGTCCTTCTGCAGGAATTATTTTAATTTGCTGGATTTGCTGGTTGTGGGTGTTTCTCTGGTATCATTTGGTATTCAGTAAGTACTATGCTCATAACGTGAACGATTTATTTTTGCTTTGGGGGCTTATACTGAAGTCAGTGTTTTGGTTCCTTTTGTTGCCCCCATCGTGCGTGGGTGTGCAGTATCAGCGTTCAGCAGTATCAGGGTTGGGACTGGCAGGAGGTGGTGCTTTACATGGAGAGTGTTTTAACTCATTAAAATACAGGTTGGAAACAAATTACCACTTTGCGCTATTACCAAGAGAATGAGGAAGAGCACCACGACACTGTATTGTGTAGCTAGTAATTCCTGGTGCTTCGGGAGGTTTATATACTCCCTCTTGTGCTATTGCCACATCTAGAAGTGTTTGAAAGGGAGAGAAGTTGTACTTGAATCAGGACTGTAAGTGGTATTGAAAAATTATTTTGCTTTGTTTGGATTGAGCTAAACATAATAAAAGAGCCTGAAAGTGCTTGTTGATTAACTGAGCAGTTGTATCTCATTTAAACTCATCTCTGGCACCCCTAGAGGCTTAGAAAAGAGCAAGGGCTGATTATCAGTCAACTGCTTCCCACTTTTTATTCTGCTTGCTCTAGAATATCTATTACACAAGCTTTCAGTTTTGCAACATGTTCTTTATTTCCTCAAAATGCAGTCCTAGCTACTTAAAGAGAATGCAAGTCATTTGAGATCTTTTCATCTCCTGCTGGTTGGAAATTAAGGTATTCACTGGTTTACAGGATTTACACGGTGCCTTTGAAAGAACTTGTCAACAGTGAAAAGTATTTTGTGAACTATCTTGCTCCTGACCAAACCTAACTGCATTACAGTATAGACAAGCTTTTGAGCTGTTAATTCCCAAGTTGCTCCAGAAATAAAAATAAATTTTATGCCCTCTGTGAGCTTGACAGTATTTTCTAATATTAATAGAGGATCAATAAAGGAATAATTACAAAAATCCTGTATACGTATCTTGAGACCTTTTTGAAATTTCATGTGTAAAGAAGTTGCAAGAACATTGTTATTCTTAGTAATAAAATCAGTTACCTTAAATAACTTTCTTTTTTTCCCCTCCTTAGATCAAGCGCTATCTCAGTTGTGAAGATCCTCAGAGTTTTAAGAGTCTTGAGGCCTCTAAGGGCAATAAACAGAGCAAAAGGACTTAAGGTGTTTATTTTTTAATTTATATTTCTGTTGGTCTGACTCTTTAGCCTGCCTCAGGTTAAAAATTGTGTAAGAAAAATTGCTTAGGGAAGTTCACGAGACCAGGATATAAATTGGTTCCTGATTCTTAAACAGAGTCGGCCAGGTTCTGCCCACAGTTACAGCAGTCTGTCTGGAGGAACAGCAGTGCTAGGGAGAACAGATTTTGACTGTAATACTTGCTGTGAACCAACATGTCAGAGCAAATTTTTAATTGTTTTTCCACAGTGCTTATGTAATTTCTATTCAGTTCATGGGTCTATGTCAACGCTTACAAATTTAGAGAAGAGGTTTAATTATGGTAATAGGTATAATACTAACGACACAAAAGCAGTGATTTTAAGAGTATAATCTGAGTAAAATAAAACACTTTTACGGTATGTCCTATGTGATACTAAGTAACAAGTTATATTTAAATATATTTTCTTATTTCTTTGCAGCATGTTGTTCAGTGTGTCTTTGTGGCTATTAGAACCATCGGTAACATCATGATTGTTACAACGCTGCTGCAGTTCATGTTTGCTTGCATTGGAGTGCAGCTGTTCAAGGTAAGCAGGCACGCAGAATCTACACTGCGTCAAGGACAGCAAATCGGAGCTGAATTCTTTGGGGACTTGCTGCCGGAGCTGAGTCGGTCCCGTTCTGAGCTAATCATAGTATAGATGTGTTCATTTTGCATATCCTGCACTTTGTCATTGCTTTTTGTTTTGTATGTAGGGA